ACTGGGGCGGCCATGTGCTCGCTGCCCACGTGGCCGCTGGCGCGAGCGCCCGGAGAAGGAGGGGGGGGAGGGAGGGGCGGAGCGGGGCGCCGTGACCTTACCGCCTCGCGCCTGCGCCTGCGCCCGGCCCCGCGGGGGAAGGGGAGCTGGGGGGAGGGGGCGCAGCAGCCGCAGACCTCCGACGCGACTAGCAGGGCGCCGCTGCTGCCTGTGCTGGAAGGGGCCGGCCCTGCAATCTGGAGCGATCCCCCCCACACTCCCTTTATTCCTAAACAGATACAGCCGCTTTGATTGCAGTCGCCATTAACAGGAGAATGTACCCCCCAGTTATGTCCACCCTCCGCAGCCCTCCTCCGATACAGACTTGCAAGCCTTGTCCTGCTTCTCGTGACTCCACATTATTCACCGGGCTAGCCGTTTCAGTCGCACCCGTGGAGTCGGCCTCGACTTTCTGTCTGTCGGGCAGACTCAAACCCCAAGTACAGATACTCCGCTGGGAGCAATTCTCTTCCCGTAAACCCACGGCAACATCTGTGGTCACCGGGCTCCTCTTGCCATCTTCTGCAGCTGCGTGTGCCCTCGGCCTTCTCCGATGACCTGTGCTCCCACGGGCTGCTTAGCTGCAGGGGGAGCAGAGGGACAGACGTCCATGTGCTGCGCGCACATTACCCGGCAGCCTCGCCATCTCTACAGGCCATCCTGCTACCTGAACGGCTGGGGTTCAGGCAGGACGGGGTCTGGACACTGGAGCTGCTCAGCCATGGGAGAAGTACAGGGTTGTCGTGCTCTGCACTAGTCAAATCCTGCTGCAGGCTCTGCAACTGCTATCTCCAAAACCACCCTGATGAGGAAGTCACCTCGGCTGCCCCCGTTCTCGCTGCGCGCCATGGGATCTACGTGTGGGGAGCTAGCTGCCGTTTACTGTCGCACTCAGATTTCCATAGATGGCAATCCAGGTTAGCCGTGAACAGAGCACACTTAAAACCATCTCTCCTACAGCAGAGTTCATTACGAGCACTGCAAAGTGCTGTTGTGACACTGTCACAGGTCTCCTGGGTTTGTTGAAACCCTGGCTATTTTCACAAATGAGAGAAGCTGAAGAGGTTTAAAGTAGTACTCGCAACCTATTTAATACTAGCCCATCTGCATACCTGGCTTGGTCACCTTCCCCAGTCACTTCTTTGCACCCTACTCTTACAGTCAGTCGTACATCTAAGCAAGTGAAAGGTCGCTCTTGGAGAAAAAGGGGGAAAAGCAGCTGCTTCCTTCTTTTCTAAATGCTTCATTCTCTCTCTCTTCCTCCCCTTGCATCGTGCAATTCCCCAGACCAAAATGTAGTTTTCACAATAGGAAGAAATTAACAGCAGGTGCCCACAGTGCTCTGACACCATGATGGAGACATTGTAAACTTAATGGAAGGATGAATGGGGATAATTACACATGGAGGATTTATTTTGGTTTGAAGCCATTTCTGTAATAGTGTGGCATCAAAACAACAACATGGAAACCGTCTGCACTTCTGCATTTTTCACTTGACAGAACAGCTAAGTATGCCCCAATTATATTCCCTTGACATGCCTTTTAATTTCAGGCAGGGTGAGTACAGAAAAGCATAGACATCTTTTCCCCACACATCCCCCCAGCCAGTACACAGTTCTCAAGGCATCCATCCGCTGACAGGAGTTAGACAGATGTAAACCCAGTACGAGGCTGGTTTTGACTGCTACTCCAGCATGCAGAAATGACAACAGCTCTGCGAAGTAGAGTGGGTGACCAAAGAAAAAGGCAATTCAAAGGCAGAACTGAACTGAAGCCCTTGCAAGAGGATGGAAATTAAGGGAGACACAATGTTCTTCTGAGTCAACAGTTACATTTCAGACTCATGAATGCAGATTATGCTTCCCAGGCATTTAAGGACATGACCGTGCATTTCATTAACAGCCTGGGAATATTTATTCTCCCCTTACAACCAGCTCCATCATCAGGAAAGTGCTCCCTGTAACTAGTGCAAGAGCTTAATTTCCAGCAATTAAGAGCCGATAGTATGGTTGCATGGAGCAGCACCGAACTGCACCATTCCTCAGCCTCAGCGTATTTCACAATGGATCCAAGGTACAGAGAGCGCACCAGTCATCCCCACTGACACCCTCAAAGAGACTTTCAAGCCGCCTTCCAGAAGCACCAAATAAAAATTCTGCTTGAGCGCAGAGTCTACACAGAGCGAGATCTGCACTTGTATCAATATTCATAGAGTGTCAGCTAACAACGCTGGAGACGTCTCTGTTCGTGACATCGTGACTCTGGACTCAACTCCCGAATGCAAGAGTAGGCGATCACATAGCTCTGTCTCTGTTAGTGCTAATGGAAGCTCAGCTTCTAACTGACAGCAACCTGCTTTGGAAATCAAATGAAAGGCTCCCGACTTTTCCGATGCCCATTAGCTGCAAAACGATTGCATCTCTAGAGATGACCTTTCTAAGGAACACTGCTTTGCGTCTTTTGTTTGCCGAGTACCATTAACATATGTCTAGCTTCCATGCCCCGCGCCTCCCCTATCGAAGGCGTTCCTCTTGGCAAAGACAGGGAGTGATTTAGGCTAATAAAAGCCCAGGGCTAAGTTATGGTCTGACCCTAAAGAGGTGCTCAAATGATTCAACCATGATTTTTCTTGTTCCTTTTACCTTCATACAGAGCAAAAGAGTTAAACCAAAGAAACCAAGCAACTTAAATGAAAAAGACACAAACACTGCATTTTAAGCTCCAGTGAATAAAGCTGCTGGACACTGGGCCTCCAAGGGAAAAATCATCCGGAGGTACAGGTGCTCAGTACCTGCACAAATAGGATGTGAGGGCCCTGAAGTGAGTACATCCCTGTTTTATAGATTAAATGTGGTTTGAACTGGATTTAGCACAGTAACTTCCCAACCACAGGACACAGCAGTGGGAGTTTCTTGTTAATGAACCACTCCTACAAATATTAAATAAGGAAAACGTGCTCACTGAGTGAATACAGAGCCATGCAGACAAACAACGGCTTTTGGCCTTCACTGCTGACAGTGTCGCACACAAAACAGAACTGCAGACACGAACACCTGTGCACCCGTGGTATCAACAGTCAGGCCTGCTTACAGCAGGACTGACCTTTATCTTTAGTTTCTCTCTACTCCCTCTCATCTCAATGCTACTCAGAGCTTCCAGGTCTGTAACTGGAAGCTTTCTGTCAACTTCTGCCCATGAGTATGTCATATATGTAATCAAGCCTTATTTTCACATTCAAATCTTTCACAAGAAATACAAGTGCTTCAGGGCAGCAGGGAAACAAATGCTCAAGAGTAAAATTTACCCTCATCTAAGGAAACAGCACAGGGGTTACGCCAGATTTCTGCCAATTTTAACCCCCTAAATAGGGTGCCAGTGGTGCATGGCACTTCATCTGGCCCGCTGCACCAGGGTGGATTTTTTACCCAAAATGCACTGCTGTCAGGGCAAATGACTTGTGCTTAATTAGGAATTTCTGAGACCAGGATAAACAGGGGAGAAGATGCAAGAGATTCAAAGAGACTCTGGCAGAGCTCTGGTGTGGACAAATGATTCAACCCTGATTTTTCTTGTTCCTTTTACCTTCATACGTACTCAGAGCAAAAGAACTAAACCAAAGAAACCAAGCAACTTAAATGAAAAAAGACGCAAAACACTGCATTTTAAGCTCCAACGAATAAAGCGTTTTTGACTGGGTGGCCTGCAGTAACAATCAGTCGCTGCAGGCTGCACGTACCTGGATGTATCGCAAGGCACTCCTTAGAACGCTGAGGTTTGAGGTCTTCTTGTCGTCTACGTTGGGGATGTTGCGTTTTAATGTCTCAAAGCATTCTTTCAAATGTGCACGTCTAAAGAAACAACACAGGTTGACTGTTATTCTAAGGGAACCGAAGGCAGATGACAATCTGACTGAGGACTGCAACTTCATTTGGGCCCCAATCAGGCACACTGTGTGACTTTTAGTCACCAGGACTCTCTGCAGGCTTAAAATAGAGTCAGCAGATCCAGTGGCAGGAGTAAGAGTCAAGTGCAAGAGACTGAGAATCCACTCCCTGATTCTCCAAATGCTGCATGATCTTAGGTAAAACATTCCATCTCCATACCTCTGCTTATCCTCCCACCCCTTCCCCGTTTGATCCATTTAGACTGTAAGATCTTTGGGGCAGAGACCATTTTCTGTTATATGTTTGCACAGCACAATGGGGCTCTGACCTCCACTGGTTGGGACCTCCTGGTGCTACTTGAATTCAAGTGATAAATAATAATACTATGCATGTAAGGATGGTGTTTGCACAGGAGCATAGCTTTGCAGTATTATTGTAATCCAATTATGTAGCTCAGTAAAACACAGTGGGAAGCAAAAGAGACAAAAATCAGCTAAAAGGAAGCATGGTAGTATTGTAAGATTCATTCAGGTCACTATGAATTTTGTTGAAAAAGACATTTATCTATAGGCTACGAGCAAAAGAGAGGGAGTTGCAATATAAAATGTGGCTTTCTACCCACCTGTTCTTCTCCAATTTATTATGCACTTCCCTGGTCCCAACCCTGTAACCCAAACAGAACAAAGATAAACTCAGTGTCAAGTTTAGAACTCTTGCCATTCAACTTGAGGTTTCAGCAGTGTGTGTGTATTTAGATGGAGGGGGAGATTTTAAAGACTATCAAAAGAATTTAGAAATTACCAGTTTCTATGTTATTTTTATATACACTATAGATCTAAATACACTATACATATGATCTATTTTATATATATAAATAATATATAAATTAAACCGTATCTCACAGACATACACAGAATATTATGTATCTTCTGGACACTGGGTATACATAGGTTAATATATTAAGTGTATATATCAGCAGAGAGGGGCAAGATGCGCAGCTTGGTGGTATCTACGTTAACATGCATTTTAGGTATTTATGTAGCGCTAATCACTGTAGTATGCAGGCCTAGAGCCTGCAGCCAGGATTCTGACCCATTTCTAATCTATATCCACCCACCAGTGGGGGTAGGATTTGTGCAGTCATAAATTAAAACCTATGGCACTTGGTAGACATACTTTACATCTCTTTAGTTTTCCACTGTAACTGAAATAACATGGCCAAATTTGAATGTGAAATAACGTAATCAAGGAATTCTCCAGTCACCACCTGAGAAAAAGGATAAAGGGCTAGCTAGCTCCAGATTTTTGAAAGAGAGGGGGAAAAAACAAAACAAAAAAACTTTGGGAAAAGCCAAATGGATTCATAAACACCATCTCACCTTCACAAAAAACGTATTATAGACTGTGGTTCTCAACCTTTTTTAGCTTTGAGGCACTCCTTGATAGACTTGAGGCACCCATCAGAAAATGCCAGTTCTCATTTTTCACTCATTTTTTGACTACAGAAAAATAACAGAGCAACTCTTTTTGTCGCAGAGAACTCAGAAAGACCACAACATGTCAGAATACTCTTAAACACTATGGATTCCTCTTTAAAATCTCTGGATTTATCTTGTGAATCATGTTTTCACACCTAACAGTGCTAACATCGTGTAGCACCCCCCCGGCACTCCTGAAAGGATCTCAAGGCACCCCAGAGTACTGTGGCACCCTGATTAAGAATCGCTGTCTTAGTTGATCAGGCACAACGACAATGGGCCATATTAGTAACAGGTAGAGATGTCATGTATCTTCCATATAGTCTATACAAAAGGATTATTTACTTCTGATTAAAAATAGACTGGAAGTAAAGTAGTGGGTTGGAATTTTTTTTTTTTTTAAATAAGGGCCAGAATTATTCAATCAATTAAAAATAAATAGCCAAGGGCCTTTTCCGTTGAAACATTTATGAACTGAATAAACAATTTCTCCATATGCATGTGGCTGGAAGACAAGGGGAGACAACAAGCATGCACCTTGAGGTGTCTGACCTAAATGCATTCACCAGGGCAGCATTTACAAGCCAGCTTGCTCAGCATATGGGCATGTGCTCTTAGGCTATATCTAGCTTGGAGCTCTTTATCACTACAGAAATACTGGTACACGACACCAACACCCGCAAAGCACTTCTAGTGTGGGTGCAAAGTTGCACTGTGTATTAGTATCGAGTACCAGGATAGGAAAACCACCCCCAGGAGGGAAACAAGCTGTATTGGGAAAAGTAATAATTCTGCCAGTATAACTGCACCTATGCTGGGGTCTTCTGCCAGCACAGTTATATTGGGCATGAAACGCACCTCTTTATACCCCCTGACTGAGATAGTTCAGCCAGCAAAAAGCTATAGGGCAGACATGGCCTTAGATCCAGACAAGCCTTTATGTAGTACAGAACTTAATAGCTTTGTTGTTCTGGAAACAAGCACATCAGTTTGAGGCCAAATGGGTAAGTGTCGTGCACGCTGTAAGAAATCTCTAGGAACAACAGGCATAGTCTGGAGATTGTTTGCCCTTCATAGGGATGTCCTACAAACTGACCCAAGGCCCACAGCTTCAGTGAACAATTTTGAAGCCGTATTTTTCCAGCTCTTATAAAAATGGAGTTAGCTCTACAAAATGAGAACACAGACTTGATTCTCCAAAGGCAGACACTCAACGATCACCTAAAGCAGAGGAGAAATCACTAGCGCTGCTCTCATCAGGGGTCGGCGTATGCCCTGGTGGCTAGTTATACAGCTTGCTGGCCACTAGCACAACCCTTCCTAACAAGCAATCCTGACAGTGGGACGGACACAAGCTATATGTGCATGATACTTGAGATCACTACCCGTTTGTTTAGTAGGCTCATCAGGCATTTTTGCACTTGGCTTCTGATGATAAGACCCTAAATACCATAAGCTTTCTATCTGGAATTTTAATAATAGTTTGGGGGAGAAAGAGCTTGCTTTTTTCCTTCTTTTCCCCAGAGAAACAGGCAGGGGACAGAAACATCTACATGGATACATCGACATCTATGGATCCTATCATTTCCTTTATGTCTCAGGAGCAGGGGAGGTGTATATTTCAGCCATTATCCTTTTAGTCGATAAAAACCAGGTCAATATTACTCCTTAGTCATCCTGCTCAGCAACACCAGGGATTCTCTTGCCATAACCAGGCAGAATTCACAGCCCTCCATTCCTGCTCTTTTATCAGTCACATTATAGCAAGGCCGAGAACTGATGCAGAAGGGACCAGACAGCACAGGATATAAATAAGGGACTGCAGAATTTGGAAACTCTTGATTATCAGTTCAAACCCAGCCAGCTTGGTAATGAGCTAAGGGACAAGGCCAGCTCTTGGCTTGGACAGAAGGTTTTTGTTTAGCCGCAGTCCAGGCTATGTAGAACCACATCACTTCTGACACCTTTGCAGGCAGTACAGCAGAGGCATTGATGACTGAGTGGACCATAGAGACCTACCCCTGAAAACAGAGACATATTGGCAGGTCAGCATAAGAGAAGCTTGCAGAGACACTACCTCTGCTGTGCCTCCTAGACAGTGGACTTCACTTATCACTTTTAGATAATGTTGTTTGACAGCCTCTCCTTTTAATTCTTGAACCGAGACACTGACCTCAGAGAACTTATCCACCAGGGAAATCAATGTGCCTGTTTGCTCTGCTCCTTTCCGCACATCCACCCAGAATGTTCATGTTCTAAGCAGGATGCCCATGTGCTCACCTCTTACTTAACTAAAGTTTATCATCCACATTACGTGAAGAAATAACCAAAATGTTGCCTGCACTAGGATACTAAACTAACTGCAACCAAATGTAAATGTGGCTGCTGCACTCAGGATCCTGGCACAGTTTCCCCAATATGGCTTTGGGGCTGCAGATATGGCTTTGGTGCTGAACACTGTGTCAGAGACCTCTTGGGATCAGTAGGGCAGTCTAGGGAAGTTGGTTTAGAATACAGCGCTGGGCCAGATGAAAATCCCTGTGCACTCTGATCAGGGCAAACCAGACTAAAACCTTACTACCAACAAATCTATTCAAATACCCATTAAGCCTGCATGGTACTAATCTGAGATCCCTCCTCGAAGCAACCATATCTTAGGGCTAATACAGCATTCACAGGTCACCTTTCCCCTCACCTTCAGGACACTCCATGGACCCTATGTCACTAAAACACGCCCCCGTTTTTAAGATGTTTCCTGAAGCTTCCATGCACTCACCCTCCAGGTCGCTTCTTCTGCTCATTTGGTTTGGCCTCTTCTGCTGGAGCCAGCTTAAGAGTGTTGAGCTGTGAGGTTGGTGCCTGATGCTGCTGCAGAGGTTGATGCGGCTGAGTCTGGGGCTGGATGGGCTGCTGCACCATGTGGTGTTGAGAGATGGCCAGTACTGGCGTTGCATACTGTGGTAACTGCTTGGGGCTCCCGGAAGGGGGTGTAGCAGCTTTGACGTCAGGAAGCAACGGGCCAGACGGTCTCTGTATAACAGGTGCAACTGAAGACGCTTCCTTGCTGACACTGGGAGTGCTTACAAGGGGCTGGTGGCGTATGAGCGGAGGGGACAGGGTGGTCTGGGCTGCTTGCTGTGGGGGGCTTGTGACGACAGGGATGGGAATGACAGATATAGGAGCAGCTAGCGGCGGAGGTGGGGGAGGAGGTGGCGCTGGTGCAGGGGGAGAAATGGGCACTGCTGGGATTTCGTTGCGCAGCTCCTCGGCGTGAATGGCATGGTTAACCCTTGGGATGCTGGCCTTCTGCTCCTCCTCTCTTTCTAGACGGAGCTTTTCATGCTTTTCGTTTTCTTCTGTAAAAGAAAGAAACAGTGTCAGCAGGGACTGGTATCATTTACACAGCATTCTCTAGCTAGGAGCCTCTTCTCAGAGCTGCTAAGTACCATTATCCTCATTTTGCTGATGAGGCTCTGGGATTGGAAGAGATTTGCCATGGCCAAGAAATCAGTCGGTGGTAGAGCCAGGAATGGAGGCTGTCTCGTGACTCGTCATCCTGTACTCTGGCCACTGGACCATGGCCTCCCCTCCATACATTTTTGCTCTGTTCAGGCACAGATTATTAATCTATAACCTGGGCTACCTTCAGAATCAAGTCTTGAGCACAAACGGCTGATTGACACCTGAGATTTTAGAGTCCGGCACAGATTCAACAACAACCCAGCCAGACAGTCAGGTGGGAGAGCAAAGGGTTTTGTGCTAGACCAGCCCATTACCCTAATGCCTCAAGCAATGGGACCACAGACAGAAGGCTGTCCGGGCTCAATGCCCCTTCTGGTCTGGCCAGACCCTGATTACTTATATTGCTATGCTGTATTTGCAATATTGCAGGATTGACAAAACGAATGGACCTTCAAGATCTCTATCATGACCCAGATCATTGTCTGTGTCTGACTCAGAGGATGGCAAAAGTTCTTCCACAACAGGCCCGGCCAAGTGTGCCACTGGAAACATAATGCTATGTTATAATGCTAACATAAAATTGCTTTTATAGACCTTCTAACTATGATCTTACTGTCCGAGCCAGAAGGGCCCAAAGCAAAACTGCAGCTCCAACCACCTCTTGAATTCTGGAGTCTAGATAGAAATGTGGAGCTCTGGCACCAGTACAAATGATGCAAACCTATTTTACTCCCTCACCATCCCCCCAGCCCCTGCCAAGAACTTGTTCACAATTAAGAGAAAAACAAGAAAAGGAAACTAAAGACAAAGCAAGCTCCGGCCCCAGCCCCCATTCCCTCTAAGCAAATTTTGAGCAGGCTCTTGATATTCAACCTTCAGTCACCTGAATGATGCTGTATGTTTCTAGAGGATCCTTCCCTACACATATTTGCTCTCAAACCTCTGAAGGGCTATGCCCTTTTAAAAAGAAACTGCCACCCACTATGTAATAAAAGAAATCAGTCCACTGCAAACCATTCCCATTCTTCCTTTTCATGCTACTGAATGCCTTAAAAAGGGCTCAAAGCCATAATGGCAAAACTGCCATCCCCTTCAAGGGGTGCAACGACAAACCCAAAGAGAAGCAGAGAAAATGACGGCATCCTGGCCCACTCCTTTCCCTGGGCGACCCCTGCATGCACAAGTCAGGCAAACCCCGCAAAACCCTTCAGACTTTGAGCACACAGGCCTAGGGTTAGAACTGATCTCACTGGGGTGAGTTCAGGGCAGGGCAGATTTCTTGGGCTTGGGAGCCCTCCAGTTTACACGTACGAGGACCTGATCCAACAACATATATATGTATCAGTGGGAGCTAGCTGTCACGGACTTCCTTGGCAGCTGCCTTAGCTCCTCCGTGAGACATAATTTAACTGAACCCAAAAGACTTACTGTGACATGAAGCTGTGAAGAGTGGGGGAATCAAGCCTATAAACGACATTTTGTTGCCGCTGGGGATTTCATTAGGCCCCTTCACTTTACTTCGACAGGCATGTGAGCCCGTGTATGTTTTTACAACGCCAGACAAAGTAAATGGAATCTGTGTGTCCTGACTAGCAAAATAAACCTCATTAAATATGTTCCAGGTCTCTGGCTTTAATTGTGTGAACGTGGCACAAATGAAATTTATTTATACAAGTGGTATGGCGCCAACGGCCTCGGCGCCTAGACATCTCATAGCCTTAGCTCAGACACCTACCAAGAAAGCTCGCTTCCTTACACGGGCAGATAACTGGCTGCCCACAAAGTGTGAGAGGTGTAAACCATAATGGAAGTAAAAGAGTTACATCGAGATCTGGTCCCTTGGCTCCATCCACGTAGCAACGATTCTTCCCCAGTCACCTCCAAATGGTTAGGAGAACAAGAACCGCCATGCTGAGCTAGAGGGGTGGGCCTCAACACTGGCATCCTGTGTCTGATCGTGGCCAAATTGGGTGTGCCAAAAACAGGTGCAACAACATCCCTAATTGTGAAACAGGCCTATTCTGGAAGGAGGTGGTGGTTGGCTCACACGTGGAAGCAGAAGGGTTTCCGTGTAGAGGTCTGACTCAATAACATTCACACTGCATCCTGCCATCACATTTCTTTTTTATACACCCCTCCCTTAAAACAGCAAAGCCAGGACAAAACAGAATTCAACAAGGTTCTCCAGCAGAGGAAATCTAGGGCCAGGCTTCTGTACAAACTGCATCGCTAGCTTTATCCGAATGCAAGACAACTCTATCATCCATCCAGAGCTTTGAAGATCCTTCTTCCCACACCACACTGGTCAGCATCAGACATGGGAAGAACAGTCCAATTAAACAAACAGCCAAGAGCCACATCAACTTACACTTAATCGGGGCTTTCCTGTCTTTGAGAGAGAGACAAGCTCAGCTCCACTGATATATTATTCCCCTAAGGCAAGTAAACACGTTAAATAAAACAGTACAAAAACAGACATAAAACCCCAAACCAAACAATCTTATAGCTCGCATAGCTTTGCGTCTGTGTGCGGGTTTGGTTAGTTAACTTCTTCACATCAGATCACTAAAGCACAAAGGTTTGGCTGAAGATGATTAGTGGGGCAGCTGAAGACAGCAGTGGGGAGATTCTGCAGGATTCCTTTTAAATTCCAACACTTGCACTCTGTTACACACATGCACAATTAGATGATCGCTTGAGGTTTCTTCTAGCCCTACATTTCTACACGTCAGTGTCACAGGTCCTGGTTGGGAACTTTTTTTGCTCGTCAATGCAGCTGAGATTTATGACATGGGATATTTCCTCCCAGAAAAAAAAAAAATACAGACCCATTTCTAGTTTCAGGTCCACTGGCACAGGTCTGATTGCAATCAACCAGGTTTGCAGGAGAGGAGCGGAGAGCAGACTTTGGCCCCACGTGCATGGCAGGCTGGACGCATGACTCAGAATGGAAAGTAAAGGCAGCAGGCGCTGTAAGATATGCACAGAGCGAATTCCAACAGAAAGCAGTTCTGCACAGAGCCTACTGGCTGGCGGGGAGGAGGGAGAGGAGGGAAAACTTCTTTGTACGCCTCTTTTACAGTGACTTCCCATAAACCTTGAGAACCCTAGTTCAAATCTCAGCTGTATTAACAAAAAATGTTCCCAACCAGGACAGAGGGTGGGTCACGGATGCAGATTAGTACAGTCCAACATCTACAAATAACATCTGGTTCACTTCCTCAAAACCCAAACCTTTCAACGTGCATTCAGCACTTGGATGGAAAGCATGTGAAAGTCAGTGTTTTGAAAGGAGACTCGCATGCAATTTGGACTTCCCCCAAGATTTTGGGACATTCACGGTCAGAGCTTTGATTCAGCTTGTTAGAGATAAAAGACTAGGCTGAAGTTTAAATCTAGATATTCTCAAAGAACCGGGGGATTTGTCTTGGTGCACAGGGTTTGTTTTGGGCTCTCTCTAATCCAACCTATCTTGCAGAAATGGCATTATCTATATTAACATAAAAAATAAGGAAGGAATAATGGGGAAAGACCCATCAGCAGGAATCCCCTGCTGTAAACAATGAAGACCAGAGCTACTGATGATTTCAGCCTGATCCTATTAAACTGAACAACATTAATAACTAATAAATAAAAGCCCTTTGTCTGCAATTCTTTTGCTCTAGTTTGCTGCCTGGTTTGCAGCCAGAACCAACAGGATGGCCTTGGCAAAGGATGCATGAGGAAATTCAATCTCAGTGACCTGATGACTAATTGTGCTTTCTATCTGCAGGTTTGATCAGGCACTCCAGCATCAGAGCTGCTCAGGCAGCCTGGCTCAAAGAGGCCAAGGGTGTGCCCACAATGGCACCCAGGTTTCTGTTTGCATTGCCCGAGTTGGGTGAGGAATGGGGGAAGGACTTCCAACCATCTGTAAAAAGGTAAAACATTTGTGGGGGGGTCTAATAAGAGGAATTCCTGGTGCCACTGCCAGTCTGCTTAGGGCTGAAAAACCCCGAAGCCAAATTCATCCTGGAATAACTCAACGATGAATGAACTCTTGTCCCATTTCCTGGCATTCAAGTCAGGATAATCACAGTGTAGAACCCAAAAATGTGGCCTGCACCTGGCCTTCCCTTTGTAACTCCAAGGTGCCAACACTGCTTACTGATGTACAGATTAGTAGAGTCAATTGAAATTCACACAACGGACAATTTTCATTCATCAAGGAAGATAAGAGCACAGGAAAATAAGGTTACAGGCACACATTACTGATCAGAAATATTTATGTAAATACCTCTGCAAAGCAAATGCAGCCCTCAGGCTCCTGACAAGCTGCCAACAAGGCCTTTAGTGTCACAAATCTTGCGGTCCCTTGAGTTAAAGGCTTCATTTCAAGGGTGTTTTAGCCCAAATCGGACACCAGTGGGGCACTGACCTCTGAGTCTGACTTACTTATGGGCAAAAAAGAAACCAAACTGGCAGCTGTCACCAAAACTGCAAAGAGGAAAAACGTCTCTAAGCCATCTCCCTTAATGACACAAGACATACCTCTGTGATGGAAACACTGCTTGTGGTTCCATCAGGACATGAGGATCTGCTCAGACTGTCCAGTGTTATACTTGTGCCTTACAAACAACTGAAGGCACTTGCATTTTGAGAAGTCCACCTGACAGCTTGCTAGTTGTCTATGTGAAACAAGTGAGGTGGTCTCTAGCAAGTTTTCCCCTCCATATTTCACATACGTGGATATAGAAATAAGGGCACACTATCCCCCAAACTACCATCCACATGCATACTTTCATTGTGGTTTTCGTACAAGCCAACATATGACCTCCTATAGGTACGTGTGAGACATGCAATGTCTAGGGCAGGCATATTTCACATGTATTTTTAACCCACACATTGCTAAATT